CCCCAAAACCCCAAAACCCCAAAACCCCAAAACCCCAAAACCCCAAAACCCCTCTAAATATTTAAATTTAATTAGTCCATGGAGGCAGAAACAGAACCATTATCTTATATCCTTAACTATTACAGGGAACGAATCGAGAATAATGAAGATGAAAGAAGGAAATGGTATGAAACCTTAGGTAAACTCAGAATCTCCCAAGACTACGACCATCGTCTTAGATGGGAGCATAAATAAGAGAACAGAAGAACTTCAAGAACTAGAAACCGCGGTTAAAGATGCACACTACTTCCTCTACGATTACAGGGACAAAATAGGTAAACTAAAAGACGAAAACAATGCTTTGGTCCAATCAGAGACAGAAAACCGCAGAACCATCAAAGACCTTCTCGCCCTCAACAACTCAGTGGAACAGCATGTTCACTTCTCTGAAGGCTCTTCACCCGAAAGGCTGCTATCCTACTCAAAATCAGCTTTGGGAAACAATATTCACCAAAGAAACAAGGAGAACATCCCTGGCTCCATAAACCTGGCCAACCAGACCCCTAAGACAAATCCAAACTACAAGACTCCAAACATAATTAGAACAGTGTACCTTGAAAACTCAGATTTGGCTGCTCTCCGCAAGGAACTTGAAGAACTACAAACAGAAATTCACGAAGAAAAGGACATGTATGAGTGCCAGCTTCATGCTGCCAGGAACGAAAAGGCAGAATATGATGAATACGCTAGGCAAGAACTAATCAGTGATAATGCCAAGATCAATGATCTCTTACAGGAATTCGAGCAGACAGATCACCTGAGCCTAGATACACTAATGGATTACGGCAGGCTACTCCAAGAAGCCGATGATAAGGTCAGAACAGCAGGTAAGAAAGTCTAGAGCAAAACTTTGACCCAACTTATAGAGGAACAAAATGAGAAATTAAGGATCGAGAACACAGAACTGGCAGCCAAGATTAAGAAAGTCAAGAAGGAATGCGAAAATGAGCTCAGAAATGCAGAGGAAGAGTATGAGAGACAGACCCAGCAGTATGCTGAAGGAATGCTGGATATCGATCCAAACCAACCAAGTGCTGCGAGGTAACTTTTGATTTATTTTTAGGTTTAAACAACAATCTGACATCCAATCAGAGTACATTGAGATCATCAAAGATCAATACAATAAAATCCAGGATATCTACAGGAAAAAGAGCAAAATACTTGTCAAGAGACAGAAGAAAATGAAAGAAAAATTGGCTAAAACAGAGGCAAGAAGAGCCCTCGAAATGAGTGGCTACTACGAAGACCTGAGACTTCTTGACAAAAAGTGCAATTTATTCCACAAGTCATAATTTATGCAATTTATGTCAAAATTATATTCAAATTTGCTATTTCAATTCAAATTTCGAACGGTGGGGTTTTGGGGTTTTGGGGTTTTGGGGTTTTGGGG